GGACCAAATTTAACTGTGTATATTTTTAGGTACATATTAGTGTTTCGCTTAAGTCCTCCTATCGACGAAATGAGAAGTAGGTTACTATTATGAATTCAATATAAAAATTGGAAAAAAGCTTAATCTCTCTAACCAAAATATTTTTAAAAAAAGCATTATTCTTATTCAAAATCGTCAGTAAGTATTTGAAAATCTGAACCATGAAGTAACTGAAAGTTGTTGTTGCTAATGCTACCTGTCTGATGGTGTCAGAACGAGGTTCACGAAATTTGTCGCAGCAAAGGGCTAGATGTACGCCTGTCGTTAACTGTAGCTTTAAGCACCATACAGGAGTAAATAAGTAATTTTGTAAAATAGAGAAAATATGTCTCTGTTATAAAACTTTAAAATTTCAGAATGGAGATAACAGGATTTGAATTACTTAAAAAAATATTTATTTATCTAAGACATCCTACCAGGTTGTAAGGCTACTTAGAAACCTAGTTAGATTTAACACATTATATATTAATTGTAGAATAGGATTTAATGAAATCGAACCATGGGTGGGATTCGTAATTTTTTTCTAACATTTTTATTCCATTAAACAATACAGCAATTCTCTTGTGAAGAAAAATAATGCATATTCCTTTTTTTTCAATCCCAACTACTAGAGTTCACACTCTCCCTATTTATATTTATCTTGTTTTATTTTTGATCGTTAATAAAATACTTTTTATTCATCTATTTATGTTCAAGTACATTTTTTTAAACTTTTAGTGGATGGTACTGGATGTTAACACAGTTTTTTTCAAATTTTTATTCATCAATTCTATTTAATTAATGAATGAATAGTAACAGACAAAAATAATAGTCCAACACCATATATTAAAAGGAAATTCGCTAGCAGTGACCCTGTAGCGCAATGGATAGCGCGTTGGACCACTAATCCAAAGGTCGTGGATTCGAATCCCACCTGGGACGGCCAAATTTCTGAGAATGGGGTTTCTTTTTACTATACTATTTTATTAGAATAATTAAATTTAATAAATGAATAAATGGTAACGAACAACACACAAAAAATAATCCAATATAGAAAGGAAAATCGCTTTCTATTTTGCCGCTTAGTAGTGAGATTCTGTCATATGTTTATACATATTTATATTAATTGTATCTATTTAATAAAAAGTAACTAAAATAAAAATTTTCTTTGTTGACATATGTAGGAGAATTGACTTAATTTTTTTTATATTATTTGTTTTTCTTTTCAAAATACGTTTATTTTTATTACTGATGTAGTAGTTTTAGGTAATAATATCTTTTTAATTTCTAAAAAGAAATCTAATTTCATAGAAACGTAGATTTAAAACTTGATTGCAATTCTACGTTATTTAATAAAAGGGATCATTTCAAAACCCTGCATCTTTTCTTCAAATTAAATTCAGTGAGAACCCCTCAAGATTACAATTATCGAAACAAAATTCTTCATCGCTTAATTCATAAGCAATTAATTCGAAACAGAAGCTTTGAATGAGTTATTCGATTCTTTTCATCCATAAATAAAATCTTAGATCATAAATGAAATCAGAAGAAAACAGAAAGCACGGATATTGAGTCAAATTTAATGAATCAAATCTAATCAAAAGATCTGATTACGCGAGCTCCTTCCGAGTGAATATTTCATAAATCCCCTTTCCTGAGCCAGCTTATGGAAATGGGCAACGGTAGCTCTGTTCGGGAGAGCATGGCTGCCGGAAAGGGCGTCCGTCGCCGGCGAGACCAGGCCCTCAATTCCCACCCACGGCTGCAAACCCACCAACCAGCGACGAGCAGACCATCCCAGGGGAGTGCCTAGTCGCCGGTGCGGACGACTGTTGCACGGGAGCGGCATTTCACCTAGCTGATATCTGACGGATTAATTTGGAAGGAGCAAAAAAGATTCGATTTTTTCAAATTGTTGGTTTACATAAAAAGCTTTTACATACTTTTTCGCTATAATTTAAGAACTAACATGAAATAATGTTAGTAAATAAAAATTACGAATGCTTAAATTTTATTCTCAAGGTCATGTGTCTAAAAAGTAGCACAATAATTAAACGAATTTAAGAATAAAAAATACTGAGATGAAGTCAAATTTATTTTTCTCCGTTCTCATATCAGATAAAAATATGCTTGACTACAAACGTTTATTTCAATTTTTATGAGAATATGTTTAAAACTACTAATTTAAAAGTGAATACATGTGAATACGAGGATTTTTAAACTAGGAAAAACGAATTTCAACGTATTCCAGATAGTTAAACACACTCGTAAGTACAAAATAGTTAAAGTAAAAAGTGATGGAAGATGCGACGGAATATACTTCAACATTCTTGTTCTTGATAATTTTTATAAAAATTATACTATGGATTATATTTTTTCTTGAAGTATTTCAATTGTCTAATTTCTTGATTTTATATTCCTTATTTGAACTCTCCAAGCCAATGTAGCTATTAAATATAAGTAGTTACACATTAAGAACATTGATAAAAAAATATCGTAATATTAATTAATTACTCATTTAATAGAGGAAATTTGCATAAAAGTTTAAACCAAGGACCATGTGAACAGAAATTAGTTCAATAAAAATCAAAACCATGCAGTTACAACATATTCATAATAACCAAGCGATTTTAATTTTTACATCTCCTTAGTCTAAAAAAGTACTTCAGTTTTTTATTAATTTCTCGTTGCCATTTATAAACAATTATTTGCTTTGCATTCTTTACAAATTATTATGCATGAGCTTATTGTAATCAGAAACAGTATTTAAAATGTTCTGCGTTAATACATTAAAGCAAAAAACTTTAGTTCAACTCCAAAAATATCAAAAGAAATTTACCCTTTTTCTATACTAGGTTTTATTGTTAGTGGAGTTTTTGTATTGTATTTTCATTTTTATATATTAAGGTATCCGACTACGTTCGGAACCGTGATTTTAAAAAAAGCGCATAAATGAATATTTTTCATGATACTTTGTGTCACTTAGATTAGAATACATGTATAAAATTGTTTTAAGGACATTTTGACAAAAATAAAAATTTAAATACAATATTTCGGTAAAAAATTAACTTAGAATAATCTTTTTTCAAAATGTTCTCCTTGTGTGAAAAATGCTTCTATTATAATAATATTTTGCCTGTATATAGCTTAGACCTCTGTACAGAGGCTCAACTATGATTTTTGAAAAATTCGCATTATTTTCAGAGTTGCAACCCATTGGAACAATTATCGGCGTTTTTTTCTTAAAATTTCTCCCCTCTGTTGTCGTAAAACATGGATAAACCCACTTCTATGTTATATATTTCAAAAATTCTAGTTGAGCCTCTGTACTATATGCAGGCGCGAAATATTATTATATAGAGGCATTTTTCACTAAAGGGGAATATTTTGAAAATGGGTCATTCTATGTTCATTTTTTGTCAATATATTGTACTTAAATAACTTTTTATTGTAATACTATTCTTAAAACAATTATATATACATTTTCTAATCTAAGTGACACTAAATGTTATAAATAGTATCCATTTATACGCTTTTGCAAAATCACGGTTCCGAACGTAGTCGGATACCTTAAGCTAAGTTTTATACATATCTTTTGTTCTATCCCCCTCCTCCTCAAAATACAACTGTCTATCATATAATTCCTTTTTTTTAAAATTTTTTTTTTTTTTTTCACTCCCTTATTCAAAAGGGATTGGGGAACTGCATCCCTTAATGTGATTTATTCTCTCATTGCTGATTAGAGTATAGTATTAGGAGGGGAAGGCAGTCAATTTGACTTAAATTTTATATTACGTTTTTTGAATTTTCCTTCTTATTTCTTTTGAACTGTGAGTTACCCTGAGGATGGATTCCGAAGGAAAGATTCGGAGACAAGAAAGAGAAAAGGAATGTGTTTCCCTGAAGCATTTTTTGGAGAGAAAAAAAGTGGGTAAACAGATAACTATATGTGACATATATATAGAGAGAGAGTTTTTATTCTAACTAGAGAATTATACTTGTTTTGATTCCTTAATGATACCTATCTTGAAGTTACTTCAAGAAGAAGCAAGCTATTACTATTACTTTTTCAACGAAAAATCCCCACTAGTAGACAAAAAAAAAAAATTTGCAGAGAAATGAAATGCAAAATGTTATGAATCAGCGTTAAAATTTTTTGCATGTATGCATGCTACATTCACAGAAAAATAATATAATAGTAAACACACAAATGAAAGGGGAAAATATATAATAAATTACAAACGAATATCTACGATAGTATATTATATTTGTTCCCATTTATTCATTGAAACCATTCAAATTTGGGTATTTCTATAATAAATTTATTCCTTTTTAATCTGGCATTTTCCAGTATTCTTATTTTTTTCTTGAAAAAAAAATCTTCTTATCGACAGTTATTTTTCTTCGAGACTTTGGGGTACGTTATAAGAATAATATTAAGGTATAACCTTTGCTTTTATTAATTATATCTATTTTTTTAAATTTATCTCTTTGCATTTTAGTTATTTTCTTTTTGTTTATTTTTTATTTTGCAGTCGAAATGAATATTGTGCCATCATCTATTCAAAAAGTAAAACGTTATACTCAAAGTGGAAAAATGATAAATCCAACTAAAAAATTGATCTTGATCAAGTGTGTTTTACTTATCTTTAAGTGCTTTTAAGTTCAAGATATCTAAAGCGTATTATAACAAGTGTATTTGCCTAGCAATAAATCATTTATTGAAAAACCTTCATAACAGTGGGTTCAGAAGTAATCGTATCTGCTACACACTGACGTAGCTAGCTTTCAGGGGGTCCTGCATAAAAATTCCTTCAGGGCCCTTTTTTAGGTATGGTAGCCCTATTAGTGGGACTGTAATTGCACTTGTTGGGGCCCCTTGAAGCTTGCGGGCCTCGTATCAATGATACGGTGGTAGCTACGCCCCTGCTGCTATGCTGAAAAGGGTTGGATGGGGCAATTACAAACTTATAAGGCACCCAGCCAGTATGGTGGTTATGACACTCGGCATGTAATCGAGGGGGCTCGGGTTCGAAACCCGAAGTAGGCATGGATGTATCTTAGGGAAAAGAAGTCGGACTTTCGCCTGAAATGGATTCCCATCTCGAATTGAAAGTAACACACCTCTTCTATTCTATGCTGGGATCATCGCTTGTAATAAAATCTGTATTCTTCTGTGTTTGTGTTGTACGTTTCTGTTCATCTGTCTCTTTCGTATGTATCCCAGGATGAAACGCACTACAACAGGTTCATATATGTATTTAAAAGTTTATAATAGTGGCAAAATAACTTATTAGTTCTCATTTTAAACTAATTTTAATATCGTAAAATTGGATATCTTGATAAACCATTTTACACTATTTTTCATTTTTTACAAAAACTTGTTGAGAATTTGAAGTTGCGACTTAGAATCGATGGTGGTTTGGATTCGAATAAATGCAGTATTCTGAAACTGAAAAAAAATTTAAAACTCTTTTCTACTAAAAAAGACTCAATGGCTCCTTGTGGACATGCAATTAAGTCGGTTTTACAGTTTTGAATCGGTTTAAAGTCTACCTCTTGATTTATAATTTCCAGCATTTGATTTTAAATTTTAAAATGCGACTTATATATATATATAAAAGAATTTAAGGTAATTATCACGAAAAAGCAGTATCAGCTGAAGAAATGTCTGAGTTTTCAAAGTCTTCCAGACATCTAGCTCTTGCGTTCTGCTTCGTAGAAAAAGAAATTAAATCTGTTATTTTTAACTATCACACTAAAGTTGTTCAATAAACTATACATCAATGGTATAAGACTAGATCTGAAACATGCTGCTAACAAATTTTAAGTACATTAAAATCATCCATGGTTTGAACTTTCATAAAAAAAATTTTAAGAAAAAATTTATATCATAAATAGCAAATAGTAGCACACACAAGAAATTTTCAAGGGGGGGAGGGTCCAGCATTTTAGTACCATGCTCCAATACACTGCCCAGCGTAATCTTTTGATTTTGTCGATTTTCAGGAACAAAAACAATACAAAATTAATAATTGAATAAATAATTAGCAATAATTAATAAAATTAATTATTAATAAGAAATACATAATTATAAATTTTACGTAATATATACATAGAATTGTAACCAATCGAAAAAAAATCAAGGGCTATGGGGAGGGGCTGTCTGGACCCCTAGGACAGATAGCAAACATTAATTCCTGTAGTCTTTGAGTTAAAAATAACTTTTGTACATATAAAAAAAATTCCGTATCTCCCTTTACCTTTTTTTTGTAAGTGAATTGAATTTTACCCTTATAAGGACAGTAGTAAAAAGAAATAATTAGCAATATATTGTGAGGGAAAAGTCAATATTTGGAAATGTATAATGAAATATATTTATAAATACAGTGAAATATACGTTTAACACGAAAACTTTTTTTCTAGTTGTGCCCCAAATTATCACGTGATCTGAAGTTTTATACATACCCCGGGATCCCAAGGGAAAGTTTAACTTATGTCCTCAAAAACTTAATGATTAATGCAACCATTTGAGTCGCGGTTTTAAAAAAAATGAGCGCAACTCAACTGCATGTACGTAAGAATATATAATTAACTTATATCTAACACAAAATCTCCTATTCACCATTTAACTTTTATTTTCCATAACAACTTCAAGTCTTAAATTAAACACCTAATTATTTTCTTAGAAAAGATAATCTAAACATAACAATTCCAATCTCATCTCATTAAATTTTAGGGTCTTCGCATGTACGATTCCACACTTCACTTTCGAACCGAAAACGCAAACTAAAAAGTGTTATTCAGCAATTCTGGAAATAAGTTTACAGCCCAATTAATATTTCGGGTCTTTCACTTGGGGTTCGTTTGTCTCAACGAAGGGATGTGTCGATCACTGTATGACAGCGTTTCTCAAACTGTGGGGTGCGCCCCCCTAGGTGGCGTGATAACTCTACAAGGGGGAGGCGCGAGCATATTGAAAAGTCGAAACAAGAGATTATTTTATAAAATTCTTTTTAATTTACTGAAAGTTAACAAAAGAAATACATTCTGACATAATTAAAAATGAAATACACATTTATACTGATAAAATACACTTATAAAAAAATACATTGTGCAGTACTGATGCATTTGTAGCTAATTTATAACAGAACTAAGTTAAGAACAATTTTAAAAATTACCAGTGACCCTATGGGCTTGTCATACATAAAATATTATATAAAAATTAACACTTATCTTGATAATTTGTACGGTTCATAATAAATCCTTTAACTGCCGATTTAAAGTTACGCGATTCGCTGCTTCTCAATGCCTGCGTCTTCCATGTAGGCGCGAGTATGTGATGTATTGGGGGGAGGGGGGGAGAAAAGAATAAATAATCAAATCCTCTGAAATAAGTAAATCCTTTGCAAACACAATCAACGTCCTTTTATTGCATTCCAAAGCTTTCGGAATAATTTTATGGATAGCAGTACAGAAAAAAGATCGTACTTCAGATGTACGTATATATACATCCGGTGCAATTAATGCTTTGGCTTAGCGAGACGTTTATATACGCCGGTGGCACTTAAGAGGTTAAAGTTGTATTGCAGCTTTTTAGCGTTGAAGTATAGTATTTTTGTATTCAATACGTTATATTTACGTGGAGGGGGGTGCGATGAAAATTATGATTGAATATTGGGTCTCAAGTATTTAAACTTTGAGAAGCACTGCTGCATGAATAAACTCTGTTTTTTTACAAAAAGTTCCCGATGTTGACTTGAAACATCACACACGTACATTGTATTATTTGGTGAATAATAAATACTTTGAAATACTAGTTACCGAATAACTAATACTGTCTTTGTTGCTGTTGTTGTGGCTAATCCTCAGTCTGTCTGACGGAGTCAGACAATACCCAAAAGACCATTGACTCTTAAAAAATCCAATACCAGGAGGGGAGAGGAAAAAAGGTCCTCCCTCGAAAGTCCCAAGCAGTCCAAGATGTGATCTGGAGAGGCTTGCTGAGTCTTGCACTTGGTGCAAAGAGTCTTCCTGCCTCCACAAAAGGAAAGACTCTTTATGTGGCCACTTTTCAATCTAGAGATTGCAGTCTGAGAGGCTCTGCCCCATATAAGTAGGAATGAGGATCCTGGATGTTTGCTTTCATACCAGTGATGGTTGGGCTGGGTCCTCCTCTCCTTTAAAATTTCAGATTTAACCCTAGATTGATGTTCAGCGTTGATGAGTGTTGAAGAGATAGACTAGCTTTGTACTAGCATTAATTTGTATTTCTTTACAAACATTATTATAGGCCAGCAATCATCTTACACACAATAAAATCTTTATCTTATACAACTATCACACACACACAGTACTTTTCTATCTTTTCTTAGAGTTATTAATCTATTCATTATTTCAATATAAACGAATCAATTAATTTCTTCTTTGTTTGTAAAATCGTTAAGTATTTCAGTAATTATTTTTAGAGATAAAATTTTAAATTAGAAATATTTTACTATGCTTCCCTTCGTAAATCTATGTTTATGTGTGCTTATCGCAAACTCATCTCGATAAAGTATATTTCAAACAAGTTCCTAGAAAAGTTCTAATAAAGTTTATACTAAAATAAAAAAAATTTTGATGGGTCCCAGCAAACCCAGTTACACCGTCTCAAAGCGCAAATATTGAACAGTTACATTTCGCAGAGGCGTTCGCTACAAGAAACAAATGACATCTGCGGGGTGGTGTATAAGCTTAAATGCAAACAGAATGCAAAAAGGGTAATCTTATTACTTCACTGCTCCCTCGTTCCCATTCCACCCACTCCCGAGAGGTTCGAAATTACAGCGCATGTTTCCCCGATAACAGCCCCTTCAGGATTTTAATAAGATTCCATTAATTAACCGCGATGTGGGATGTCTTTTTTGCCTTCTTCCATATTACCCTTATTTATAATGTCTTTTTTTGGAGTGCTCGTACGATGAACTTTGATTAATTTTCCGTTAATTAAGTTGAGTCTTTCACCTTCAACTCGCCTAGTTGTCAGGTATTGGTGTGGAGGGGGCTTGGGAGGCTAAAGAGGAGTTAAATCCGAGATACATATTTGTAATTTTTCTTGCGGAGGAAAAAAAGTAAGGATTAAATGATATGACAGTAATTAAAATCTTGTAAATAATCAAACCAGAGATTATGTCTTTTAGTCGTGATAAATTGAAGCGATTGTTTTTCAGGAAATGATTCTGGTAATGAAAGAGGTTTGGTATTGCGTGTAAGATTAAAAATCTCTTTGTAATGAGATTTCCATAACGGAATTTTTGTTTGTGGTTTAAAACGAAATCAAATGTAGTTTTCTGTTGATGTTTGTGACCAAAGGGGATTCTGATAAGTAATCTTTATAATCCTTTAGAAACACATTTTAATTAAAAATTTTTTGCACGTATGGTACAATTATCATTATCAAATGAAAGCGAATCGTTCGAAAAGCGACAATGAAAATAAAAGCCATTTATCTTTTTTTTTTGTGTGTGGTTAAATACAGTTCAATATGCAATATTTTAGCAAAGATATTTATAATTCTGTTTGGAATTATTTAACTAATCATGACTTTATTATTTACTACTAAAATCATTTAAATCCCTTTTTATTTGAAGTTTGATATTTTATCAAGATCCAAAATTATAGTTTTCTTACATTAACTATAAAAAAATACCAGGAATCACTATTTATGTAGTTTTAATTCAATTAATAGACTCGTCTTCCTTTAATCCTGTAGATCAAAACAAATGTTTCTTATGATCCTCTTAACAAAGGATCTTTAATTTTGAATCACAATTAAGTGAAGACGTATCTCATACTCTTAATTTTCACACAGTTACATAAAAATTTAAGTAGAATTAGCTCCCGTAAGAATATCAAATATTCATAAATTGTGAATGTATGTCAAGTTCCCCCAATTCTTTAACAATCGCCTTTCATTGATCTGTTATAAAAATGATGAAATAACGAGGATAAACATTTATTTTTAAATGATATTTGCTTTTATTTAGCAAAAAGTCCTATGCACACAAT